CCCCCCCCCCCCCCCCCCCCCAAAACAACAATTCTTCAAACCACATCTATCTCTTGTACCCTCTCAATATACGTACTAGAAAATCATTATTTCCTCCCAAATTCCTTATATGTAGATGCTTAAAAAAGGAACTAACGGTAATTTTATGTAGTTGGATTCTAAAATACATGCTCTTCCTTTTAACTCTTGTTTATTGCTTGTTCTCTAATACTGAAGTCAGTTGAATGTCAAATATCATTCTCCCCATGATATACCTGTTGACAATGTGAAGTTAATGATCCGCTTTTCATTTTTATTTTAGTAGCTGAATCTCTTTCCTTACGTTCCTTTTTCCCTTTCTTTCTAGTACTTGTTTGCTGCTTGGTTTCAGGATACTGTTACGCTTGCCATGATAAACTATTGAGAATATCAATCTAGTGATCTGTTCACGAGTTCTAGTGTGCATTTTTTGAAGCTCTCATACAGTGTTTACCATAAGGAAATATATTACGGGCCAGCAGAATATGCAACCACAAATTGCAAATTTTCTATGAGAGAAAAATGATAAAAAAAGAAATGCACCAACCTTTACATAGAAAGTAAATTAGCATTGACAGATAAAAAATCATCTCCATTTTAACATGGTAGTTTCACTTCTTCAATAGCGAAAAGCATATTCATACCCCTCATTACATAAGGTCTCCCTTTCCCATGTTAGCTTGGTGTCAAAAAAGCTAAAATGCTTACACAGGTATCTCCTTTGGATGGAGAGATTAACAGTTTGACCAAACTCAAACAGAGGAGTCGAACTTTGTTTCTCTCGATTTCAGGTTTCTTTTCCTTTTCTAAGAGAGGGGTGTACAAGGATTAGCTATTGTTAGGCTTCAACGTCTACACATGTTATGCTCTACGCAAATCTTCAATTTTTCTTGAGTATTGTTATTACCTACACACCCCCACCCCCGATGGATAAACTTTTCCCTCTAATTCTATAAAAATTAACTTAAAAGTGTTTACTAAAAGTTCGCTTAATTCAAAGTTTTTATCAACCATCGCAGACGCCAATATGTTACTTCCATAATGCAGATATCATGTTGTTTTTATATGTTTAACAAACACCACTGCAATTTTCTCTGACAAAAATACAACTAATATGGTGACACTAGCCCCAGGCTTTCACAGCATAAATGGCTTCTCTTGCTGCTGCAGATCCTGATTAGCCACCCACCCCATTCCACAAACAGAAAATAATAATAACTCTATTTTATAGTTAATCTTTTCGCTTTCCCCTGTGCCAGTTAGAAGGAAGAAATTTACATCAGCTTGTTTTCTTCCATAAATGTCTATCCTTGAAAAAGTAAGAAATGTAAACTCATTTCTAATACTCATTCTGGAAAACTCGGCCTAGAATATGTGGCTTTGTCATTTAATTTGCAGCAAATTAGCCCAATGTCAATGTACAACACTTACTTGTGGAAGATCATATTATTTGTTGAATAAGTAGATGATTCAAGAGGATAACACGAGCTTGTTCAAAAAATGTGAAAGATATAATATTTTGGACGTACTGATGATTGGAACAGAGGCCAAAATCAGACTGAAGTTCCAAGATACAGACAATGAAATCATTTAGTTCATAAAACCACCACAGTTTGTGTGCATGTATTCAGATCAAGTGTTTGATAGAGAATCAAACCATATATTTAACACCATATTATCGTACACCAAATGCATGCAAGCCAGTTCCACCCTCTGCTACAGTTAAGGTCAAGATAAAAGATGTTTCATTTTGCTAATGCTATGTAACAATTACACAAGATACTTAACCTTCAAAGTAAACAAATGAAAATAAATATGCAATTACAAAGAGAAAACTTAGATATGAGGTAATAATAACATTTTAAACATACAAATTATAAAGCATCTGACAACATAATGCAGTGTAATTCTATCACATTTGGAAGAGAAGGATAATGCCATACACAATAAAATGGATGGTTAAGGGAGGAAGTTTCTTGCCTATTGCAAATTTGTTAAAAAAAAATTGTAAAATAGAGGACCAAGATGACTAAATTCAACACTTGTCAAGTTACTACATGGAAATCGTACCTTTTCTTTCTCAAACATGTGATACAAGTCCCTAAAAGGTGATGAACTTCGCGTCCAGATGATTGCAAAGGAACACTCCCTACAATCACAGAAACATCTTTGCTGGCATGCGTTGAACTAGGGCCCAAATCCATGTCAATAAGCCTTGTACCTTTTGGCTCTATGCATTGGACATCCTCTTCTGAACCATCTACTGATCTTAAGTCTGGAACCTCCACTTTCTTCATAGAGTTACAATTCATTGGAGCCCCTTCTGCATCATCAAGTATGTCTATGATAGTACAACCAATCTCAAGGTCTTTCAAACCATCTCCATCCGGAGGTTGAGGAGCCTCGTCGTTACCACTATGTGCTAGGCAAGATTGTAACAATTTTCCGTCAATATCATTTTCCAATACATCCACACCAGAAGCTGTACCGGATAATTCATTTGCCAAATTCCGTATCACCCTTCCTCTGCTCGCCTCACTCTTTCCTATTGGCTCAGAACTAATTCCTCTGCCATTAACTGCAAGTGGTTTATCTTGTCTCGGCAACTCTTCAGCAGCATCTAAGCGGGGACGGGAAAAAAGGCATTTGAGATTAAAGTACATACACTTTATTTCATTTATGCTGGTCATAATTAAAATCAGTTTCCTTCCATCCCTACCCCCGTACAGGCCATTGCTAATGATGAGTTTATGCATAGGTAAAGGTAACAAACAGATTATTAGTTTACAATATAAAGGTTAAACATCTAAAATTCTCTCCTACATAAAATATGTTTCTAACAAAGAGGTTAATCTACCTGGCATGGTATATTTTATCTTTTGTGGCTTAAATAAGGCCTTGTAACTGCGAGCGTCCATTTTCTTCCTTTTAGTGCCAACAGAGTTCAGGTCAGGTTCAGCTTTCCCAGATTCCACTGTCAACTGTTTCAGGCTCTTCTCTTTGATCTCCTTCTTTTTCATATTTAACGGACTAAGTCGTTTTACAGATTGCTTGGATCCTGAAGACCTTGATGAATTAATTTTCTTACCCCTGTCAGACTTCCTTGGGGTACTCGTCAGATTATGTTTCTCAATTCTATCAGATTTCCTCTTCACTGAAGGAATTACGGGTGGCGTCTGCCTCTCTATACGCTCAGATTTCCGAGTACTTTGCGGGCTTTGAGTCTTGAGTTTCGACGACTGCGTTTCCCGAGCTGACCTTCTCAAACCCAAGACATCAGCTTTTTCCGGAATGAAGTTTGATTGTTGTTCTTTATTGACCATTTTTTTCTTCGAACTATTACCAACCAATTCATCTGTATTCTTCTTCGCAGATCGAGTACTGCTTACCATCCTTTTCAGCTGAAACTGTGACCACGCGTCTTAAACTTAAAAATCTTCTACAAATTCAACAAATACTGAAAAACAAAAAGCATTAGACGTTAAAACAATTTGATCTCAGTGTGTCGGGGACATACAATAAAACCTAATTGTAAACTACCTCTGAAAATCACTGTGGTTTGAACTATCATTATTAAATATATATAATTGTTAAACGCTAATCCACCAATTACAGTTTTAAGGTTTTATTATTTGACGCGCATAGTTTCCAAACAACATTATTCAACATATTTTAACAAATTTAAGTGTTGTTGTTTCCTATATGCAGTAAATCAACACCATGCAACACCTAAATAAACATGAGAACACATTCATGTGTTAAAAATTCCCAAAAGTCAAAAAAAAAAAAAAAAAAACTCCGAAAACTTGAAGGACGATCGACCGTTGATAATTTACAGAAACGGAAACGAAAGAAAAAATTTTTTTAAAAAAAAGATGTACTTTTAAGCGCAAAATAAAACCCTAGATTTTGGCATAACAATTGTAACATCAGGTATGAAATTTTACCAGCATCTGTTTGAAATAATCCTTGAAGAAACCCTAGAAGTGGAATTTCACGGCATTGCTCTACGATTTTCTACCGATTTATGATAATCAATAGTAGTAGTAAGGTGAGAAGTTAAGTATAGCACCCAAATACTTTCTCCACACAACCTGTGCCAGCTACAACTTGCATTTATAGGAACGACTATCTGGCTCATGTTTTTCCAGTTTTGCCCTTATTTTATTTTCCCAAACTTATTAATACACCATTCCAGCTAAATTAAAATTCATTTTTATATCGTATATTTTTCAATAAAATAATATTACATAAAAAAAAAAAATTTAACCATCTATTCTTCAAAAAATTACTATTCCTCTTTGTTAAAAAGCATTTTCTCGATTTCAAAATTCTTGTTTTGAAATATTAAGGATGATTTCGATTCGTTGTTTTCAACTTATTTTTAATTTGGTAAAATATTAAAAATGTGTTTGCTTTTGTATTTTTGAAGTTATACTCTCAAAAATAAGGATAAATTTAGGGGAAAATACATAACTATTAGTGTTGGAGAATAAATTTTCACAATTGAATTAACAAACTCAAACAAAAGTTCCAACGATCGGGTGTTATATCTATCTAACTACATTTAAAAGAGGGAGTTGCCTTACTGTTCACAAGCCGTTTATGTTCTTGAGCCACTCGTCTTCAGTCGGTCGGAAGTTAGCCGGGTCAGGGTGTAAAATAAGCCTTCTTTCTGGTTCCAGAATTTTCTTCCTTTTCCACTCACTCTCTCGCCATTCTCGCCTCTACAGTTCTTCAAAATCAAAAATTCTGTCAAAAATGTGTACAGATTTCGAAATTTCAGCAGATACAAGAAAATCTCCATAAATCTCGATCTCATGTAACTTCCAAGTACCAATTTGGGTTTTATTCAGATTTAGACGGACAGAACTTGGATGAATTTTTGGGATTTTCTTTACGAATCGAGACTGGAATCTCCATTTGGACCTCCAAACTCAAGCTCGTTCATCCTTTTTGCTACTGCTTGTTGCCATATACTACCTTTTGAGCGATTTTTTTTAGATATTTTGTTTTTTTTCTCCAATTAGTGTTCTCAAAAGTATCTACAGATTTTGAAATTGGTTCAAGATATACGAAGAAATCTCCATAAATCTCGACTGAGGTAACTTTGAAGCTTTGATTTAGGGTTTCTTTTTCCTTTTCGCCCAAACTTTGAATAATATTAATATATATAATCTTTTAAAATAGCTTTAACAATACCAATTATTTCATATATTACAATACAATTTCTCTATTCAATTACAATATCCTGCTCTCATCTTTCTCTCTCTAAATAAGATTTCCAAATTCTCTCCTAAATCACTACAAATCACTCCTAAATCATAAACTGGACACAAAATTGGTGAATCTAGAGCTTGTTTGGTAGGGATTTTTTGGGGGAAGAATTAATTTTGAATAGTGATATGATGGGAAATGTGTGGTTGAAAAAGAAGATAAGATTATTGATGTGATGGAAAATATTATTTTATTGAAAAATGTATGGTTGAAAATGAGAATTGATTTATTGTAGAATTAGAGAATTCGTACCAAACGGGCCTCTATTCTCCAAACACCATCATTCAATTGATAAAGTCATGATACAACCAATGATGTCTGATTTTCAACCGCTTAGAGTTGTCGGAATGCGATGGTATAAGGATACGATGATTGGAGATCTCAATATTTCACTGTGAAGCAACATACATTATGATATTCATTTATAGTTATAAGTTCTTTCGTTTTTATTTATAGATGGTGTATTATCATATATGATGAATTGAAAGATTATTCAAATGAGATTTACTCTTGATTTGGAATTTTGAATTTATCTCGTGATATAAAAATTCATAATTTCTAAACAGGTTTCTGTATTTCATAAAATTACAGCATGGTTTGACCTATTAGTTGTGTGCTTTGTATTCTATGTCACTGTTCCTATTTAACAGTGAATGTTTCGACAAGATCTGTGTAAGTTGTTAATGCTCATGACCAATATTTGTGATTGTCTGTGACGAAGTTTGTCTCCATTATGACATTCTGTGACCGAGTCCGTCTTGACAGTAACTGTATATGACCACTTGTTAGTTAACAATGACATGTATAACTAGAAATCTATTAACGGTAAATTTTTATGGCAAAATATGTTTACAGTTAAAGTTTGTGACCATTTATGTGTGAACTGTGACCATCTATAATCATGTATGTGTTAACTATGACCGGTTGTGACCAGTAATGTGATCCACACAAACATCTACCAACTATATCTAAAATGAAAAATCATTTCAAATATTTAGTTCTCAATAAATCAATCATCTGTCTTTATTTTTCCTCTATGTCAATCTGTTTGAACAACAACGATGCAATCTTAAGCTTCATTCGGATGGCATCAGATGACATGGAGTTTTATATATGTCACTAAGATATGGAGCTTGTTGTAATATTTTCATGGAAACCATTTGCTTTTTTTTTAATCAAATATTTTTAATTCCACACAAATTAAAGCGAGAGACATGTGACTGTGACCTTGATCACAAACATAAAACGTGTGGCTGGGACCTAAAAATGTCTGATTGTGGCCTAATTTTTTGTGTCTGTGATGTTTTCTACAGAAATATAATAAACTATGGCCTATCAAACACTTGTATTTTCATATAAAAAAATGGGTAGTAATATAACAAAATCAAATCACATTTATCAATGTGGTCACATAAGAAATAAATCAGGTAACATTTTGAAAAAAAAAAGCTCACAAATTATCAAAACCAGGTAACAAAACCCCGATTACATGATGCACGACATACCCATACTCTATACTTCACATTGCAGGGCATTTACATAAAATAAGTACATATTAGGGATTTTACCTACTTCGAGGATTTTTCGTCGAATGCAAACTTCTTGAATCTCTTAGGTAAAGAAGATTCTTCAACTTTTTTCCTTTCTTTTTCCTTTTTCCTTTTCTCTTTATCTCTTCGATTTTTATCTACGCTTCGGGGTTAATACCATTTTAAAGAACAATGTATGGTGAATGTTGCTCACACAAAGAATTTTATATTGGATTCTTCAATTTAATGTTGTGCGAAATCTCGGTGGTGATAGTAGATAGTGATAATAGTAGTGCTATTTATCATCGTGGATATAAATATCGAAAGGAGCTTAACAATTCCCACTTTGAAATAGGTTGACAAATAGCTCCTCACACATTCAACATAAAAATTTGTGGAGTACTTCTTCCTCTTCTTTTTTCCCGTCCACTTATATCTTTACTTATGCTTTAGGATTGAGGATAATGTTGATTTTAAGTTTGGCGTGGAAAAAAACTTTGAGTTTTTTTTGTATGTTTGTGCATTTTAGCGTGTTTATTGATAGTATTGCTTTAGTATACATATGAGAAAATTATAAAAAAATCTAAAATTTTGAAGAATTTCAAAAATATTTCTTTCGTTAGGTTGTGTGCGTGTGAGTTAAATAGTCTGGTCGATAATGATGATTTAATTTGAGATTTGATGTTAATTTAAGAATTGTGGGTAGGTTAAATGCTTAAATTGATTGATATTTAGCCTTGCAGAATTTGATATTATATGTGCACTAGAATTGAGTTTTATACCATGATACAATAAGTCAATTCATATGTTGGATAGATTGATAGATTGAACATAGATGTTATACTCAAAACTATCCTAAATTAATTATTTTTAGACCAAATTTAGCATAGCTTGTAGGTGATTTTACTGTTGTAGGAAAATACGAATGTAAATGGGGCTTCCTTGTATGAAAATCTTTTTGTGTGGATTGTCTTAAGAGCTTGTTTGGGAGCAATTTTAATTCGATTTTAATCTTTACCAAACAAGCTCTAAATTAACAAGATAAAATTGGTCGAAAGTCTTAAGTTGGAAGTGGGCTTAGTTGAATATGTGTTTAATAAAAGACATTGTACTAATCAAGTCATAATTTTTTTTGAAATTTGAAACTTCTCTTTAAAACATTTATGACTCAAGTAATTAAGTCTACAAGGGTATCTAAAAACGTGGTTCACTTAAGTCATCTGACTTATGAGTCATCGATCTAAAACTCGATACAAGGGTTATTTAGAAAGCAATTAGAGAGGAAGTTGCTCTTGAAATAAAAATTAGTTCTCTTTGAAGCCTTTTTTACTCGGGTTATTAAACTTGTAAGGGTGGTTGAAACCCAGTGCCCTAAAATATCTTATTTGGGAATTATCGGCTTAAAATTTGCTACATGGGTTGTCTAGAAATCAAAAGGAGGGAATGCCAAAAAAGAAAAAAAAAATACTTCTAAAAATCAAAAAAAGCAAATGCATGGAAAAAGGAAAAGCACTAAATGCCTTGGATAAGTCTCAACACTTGTTTATGAGAATTTGACTTTTGATGAATAATAAATAGCCTAATTG